GACACGACAATCATAAACTTCTGATTTTGGTGTCTGATCACACGACTTTATTCTTTCGATAAGGATTTTATTAGCAATCCTTTTATCGCCTTTTAGGTTTTTCAGCTTCTTTCTTGTCGTCCCTAGCTTTTTCCTGGACAAATTCTTTTGAATTTCGATTTGGAAGTCCGGAGGGATGCCCCAACTTTTTCCTAAGCGACTTGTTTTCAAGTTTCGACTTAGCGATGCTTTTTGTTTCTTTCTTATTCGTATTTCCATTTTTAACAAGTCATTGATCTTTGTGTTGTCCTTGATTTGTCGGAAGTGATCGTGGCTGTCTGAGTCTTTAGTGGATGAGGGATAGCCATTGTTGTATCGTCATCTGTTGACCTCCTGATGTAGAAGAGATACCCACTGGGATATTGTCAATAGACGCACGTTGTTGTTAGATGAGGATTAACCATTGTGGTTTTAAATTTCCGCAACCTTTTGATGGATAACCATTGTTATATCCTTGGATGCACACTCTTGATGAGTTCTGAATATTTGATCCGATTAGCTGAACACTACCCACCCCAGGGTTAAAATGAGGGTTTTTTCTGAACAGAAAAGAAACTCTAACTTCGAAGGCTCAGAGGGGTTAACGAAGGTCTATCTCCCTTATATCTCCAGTTTTTAGGAATAGAAACAAGGCATGTACATCATCAGTAGGGTCTTACTCGAAAACGTACCAACCAGAGATTTTTGCGTTTTTAGATTATCGCCATCCTCCTTCCAATCTTTACCTAAGCATAAGACTTGGAAACTCGGCATCAATATGCAAGTAAAACATTTAATGAGTGATAACAAATGAATGAATAAAAACAAAAGAACACTTCAAGACAAGCATACTTATTGCATTAAGATTTTAATTCAAAAATAGACAAGTTTCTATATACAAGCAATGTTTAAACAAACAAGCAAGAATGCAAATGAAAATGCACTAAAAGAGAACCAATGGTTGCCATCGATGAGGAGACTTGACTCTGTATGGATTTCTTGATTCTGACGACTTTCTGTAGTCTTGATTCTTAAATAGGCGAAAGAATTCCCCTTCTGATATGGTTTGCACATAACAGTCTCTGAATTGATCCCGTCTTGGCCATTGTCTCTGGATGACATACCTTCAATCAAATGGCCAGGTTCCCCAGTATAATGTGCATAGAATGTTCTTTCAGGAGAATGAATGCTTTATCAAGCGAATTGGTATAAATTGCATCACCAAGCATCTCATGTCTCAAAGAAATAATACAATTCGTCTTCTCTCAGAATAATAGAGACATCCAACTCGTGAGAAAAATCCTGGTAATTGGCCAAATAGGAATTAGACTTTTGGAAGAGACGCCAGACAGGTGATGGGCTTTATACTTTAACCCCTTTGCATTCTTCGATATCAAAACCGGGTGCCCCAGAATAGGGGATACATCTAGCATGTGTATTGAAATCAGAATAGATGCTTGTGGGAAGAGGACCCCAAAGATCAAAGCTTTGTCGAACTTCCATCAGGAGAGGAAATAACTGGATGTAATGCACTGGGGTCACATCACCATGCTCATCAGGCTTCTTCTGTCTTTTCTTAAAATCTTTTTTCCATGAATTCACTAGGGGAATAAAGATTGACTGCTGTTGAACAAATCAGGGAACACAAAGCTATGGGGAGTGCCCCTGATTGAATAGTTGGATGCCCTGGTGTGGTAACCACATCTGACGTTGGTCAACAAGAATGAAGCACCGATATAAGATCAAATATTCTTTAGGCGTGTTCTAATCTCGTTGGTAAAAAAAGCTTCTTGAATTTACAAGTAAATGGGAACCATCTGCTGACAAGATGTTCCAAGAACTCAAGGTTGTGTAGCACTCCATGGTTGAAAGTAATTCCCAAAAGATGAGGAGAAGAGGGAACCTGCTGCAGCAATAAGTGCAAGATTGTTGACATTATTATTAGAGCTTTCATGACCTGGCTCATCTGAGTTTTCAATCGATTATCTCCCTTCTCAAAGAGTTCCCGACCACGGGCCAAAGCTTGCATGTATATCACTCGGAGTTATTCCATAACTGATCTCTGAGCATGTGACAATAAGAAATCAAGTCTGAACCTCTGAGGAGAACACCGGTTCTGAATTAGAATCCCCAATATTCGAATACCTGTCATGGATGCATGAATATGCATGGGGTGCATGAATGAATGTCATGTCATGTTCCGCAATTTCCAAGGAATTTGCGTGCTTTGATTTTGATTTCACGCAAGTAAAAGATGGAAGAGTTTAGCACAAGGCTTGCAAATATGATTCCTTGGAAATAATAGAACATGTATGTTAAGCATGTGGTTAACCATGTTATGTATGCAAAGATATGGGATCAAATGGGATCAAGGTTCCATCATTCCTGAATATGATTGTTGCAGTGTTTGAAATCATATGAATACCATCAGATCAAAGGTCCAACATAGCTTCCACACATATAAGAACTAAGTACCACGTGGATCATCAATAATACGGGATCAAGGCTTCTGGAACCGGATGCTGTTGAGCATTTTCTGAATATGCTGGGAATACCAAGATCGAAGGCTCGAATGAATCTCCAGGTAAACAAGTCAGACACTCAAAAAATAAATCCAAGCCCCCCATAGTCACCAACAGAATATAACATCTGCATAAAGTCATCAACAGAAATCCAGAACATAACCATTAGAACCAATAGTCACTGTCTGAGCATAGTCACCATCTGAACATGAGTGACCATCTGAACATAGTCACCAACTGTACCTGTGATAATAACCCCCCACTCACGGGTGAAGACTAGGTCAGGGTAAGGCAATGGTAACTCAGAATCGAGGGTACTCCTGAAGAACTATCACTGTATCACCTACGAGAAAATGATAGCCCCTCATTTCTACCTTCTCTGAGCGTGGACGACATGGTGGCAATAGTGAAACCTACGTCAACTAGCCGTTCATGTTCCACTCTATTCCTAGTATCCTAGTGTGCTCTGGCCTGGGTATTGGGCCTTTTACCTTACAGTAACACCCACCCAATCATGAAAACAGAACCAGCATAACAGTATCACCAATATATACATCAATAAAATGCAATGCAAACATATGCACAAATAAACATGTACAAAATGAACAAGCTATAAAGCATAAAAATAAACACCCAAGGAAAAGAAAACAAGAGCTAGGATCGACTCCGGGATGGACCAACAATAGGTCGATATGTCCCCAGTGAAGTCGCCAGCTGAAACAACCAGCTGAAAATCATCAAACAATGAAGTCTCCAACGAACGTCTTTTATCCCACGGGAAGGGAAAGGTAAACATCGTGAAAACCTGAGAAGGGAGAAGTCACGGTCTTGCGACTGAGATATCGGGTAAGGGAGTATGTTACACGAGGGGAAGATATTAGCACCCCACACGCCCGTAGTACTCTATGGTATCCACTCTTGTTGTCTATCTTATGGGTGTGTTTAATCTATGCTTACTGTTTACTACTTGTTAAAGGGAGAATGCATGCAAAAGAAATGAGAAAAGAATGTAGGGAAAATAAAATTGTACTCCCTTAGGCCCTACCCCAATGCCTACGTATCCTTTTTTAGGAATCAGAGCTACCGTAGTTCGGCTTCAAATGTTTTGTTGGTTTGTATTTTTTTAATGAACAATATTAATTTCGCCTTCTGCCGCAACTCGACCTTCGTAGATTTACGCATCAGCAGAAAAGTGAATTAACACGTTCTTTTTGAAAAGAGTCCTGAAAGAAAAGCCCGAAGGCGCAAAAGAGTTTGCATTGGTTGATATTTTTTACCTTAAAAAAGGATTTGGAAGTTGTTAGATGTTTTATGCTTTTTCAAGAAAAGAGTTTTAGTCTTAATGCAAGGATGCAAAAGAAAAGAAAACATCTAAGGGAGACTAACCTAAATATAATCCCTAATGTTATCATACAATAATTAATCTTAAGGTTTTTATTAACAAAAGGGAAACGTCTACCTAATGTTAGCATACATGGTTTGCAACCTAAAGTCTAACTTACGTCCATAGGGGGTGAGTACGTCCTAAGAGAACATGGTATGTACAAGGATAAAGCAAGCAAGCCAGTAAACTCAAGAGAGCAAACCTGAAGAGATCCTATCTAGGTTAGCATGCTAAAGAAAGTCTAACAAAACTATCCTATAGGGAACATGCAATGAGAGCGAAGTCGTGATCTCAATTTCTAAATTGAGTGACCCATCAATCAACAAGAAATAACATAAAGCAATAAAATCATATAGGGAGCATGCATTGAGAGAGAAGTCGTGATCTCAAATTCTAAATTGAGTGACTCATCAATCAACAAGGAAGTAAGCAAACACAAGCACAATACATATAGTAAATGAAGTGCGGAATGCCTACTACGGGTCTTTAAACAACAACTTCGAGTGCACGCTCTTTATTTCCTACTTCTCATGGTATCTAGAAAAGCAGTAAAGTGTGGAAATGCAGAATAAAATGAGGTTGTGATGATACCAAACGGAGAAGGTCCACTGCCTCTTCGAAACCACACAAGCAATAAGAAAACTCTACTAGAATCTCCTTGAATTTCCTTGACAAAAATCATGCTCTTGGCCAACTTCAGAGCTTTGTGAAATCTTCACCTAAATCTATTTTATTTTCTAATGTCATAAGATTTCAATCACGATAATTAAAAAATATGGTATTGAAATCAAAATAGCACATGAAGCTCCAGGGGGTGCAGGCCTAATTCAGGATACTGCAGAAGTAAAAACCTGAATGACACTAGGCCCATCATAGAATCCATAAAGCTCTTTTTTTTGTGTACTTCAACATCAGGTAAAAACGCAAGGAAGGGGTCTAAGAAAATTCGGCCCAGGCCCATCACCACTATCCACTTATCCTCAGCATAATGTGGTTATCTTGAATAATAAGGAAAAAAAATAATCAAAAATAAAAAAGTATGGAAACGTATGGAGGATTTTAGGGTTGAATTGGTCATGACTGTTGAGCCTTCGCGCAAGATTCCTTCTTCTTCTTCATTAAAGTTGCGGACGGCGCCGATCTCAGACTCAACTTCCTTCACCGCTCTCAGACTTCTTCACCTCTCAAACATATTCACCGTTTTAACTCCATCATCGGCCGCTTCAACCTCGACCTCACAATCGCGATCAACAATGTCTCTCATCTCCGATCCGCCGGAAATCAGTCCAACGCTTCTGCAAGCTCGACGATGAAAAAACCAGAAGTCTCGCTGATAAACTCAGGTATGCACATGCTCGTATCTTCTTCTTTCTGTACAAGCCATTGTTGGGATGTTGCTTCTGAGTTTTTGCTCTTCTTTTCGCTTTTCTGATTGATGTGTTTTTTGTCGCGCTAACACAATGGATGTGTTTCTGTAGTTACTATGAATACAGAGAAGTGTTATGATGCGGTTTTGATATCGATGACTGCATAATGGAGATGACTGCAGAGGTTGCAATTCAGTGATGGAAATTGAGGTTATGCAGTAAGTATGAGAGTTGTTGAGAAGGTGATTAAAAGAAGATAAAGATGGAGACGATGAATCAGTATATGATGGAGATTATGCAGAAGCTCTAAGAAGATTGAAGTGAGTGTCGAGCGTTGCTGAGCCGGAGATGCGATGCTGAAGTAGATGAAGATGAGGAAGCAAGATTGTGCAGAGAATTTCAATTTGAGAATTGATGAAGATGATGGAAGGACTAAATCTGGTGAGTTTTTGTCACTGAAATTTTTTGATAGTTTTCTGTAATTGTTTTTTTTTGTTGAAGATTTTCTATGATTATTTCTCTCAGAATTTAAGAATAATGGTGAATGATGAAGATAGAAGATGAGTCATTGATGGTTTGAAGATTGAAAAATGGAGAATGAAAGTGAAGATAGAATTCAGAGATGGTTGTGGAGGAAAAAAATGGAAGAGATATGTTGAGAGGTTTTTTTTATTTCTCGTGGTTGAAGATCTAGAGAGAAGGAGAGAGATTGGAGATCTTTTTCTTGGTGAGTCCTCTTTCTTCTGATAGATCTCTTCTGTTATCTCTGGGATCTTTTGCAGTTGGAAATTCTCTTTAACGGTTATAGGCAGTTTTCTATTAAATTGGTTTTTTGATTACTGTTTTGAATGAGTTGGCAAATTAGTTGGTTAGGAAGTTAAAAGTTAGTTGGAAACTGTTATGAAGGGTAGTTAGGAAGTTTAGACTTCTGTTTTGGAAATTCTGTTTTTGAAACTGTTATGAAACGGTTAGGAAGTTAGAGGTTCCTGAATTCTGTTATATTTCTGTTAGGAATTTTTAGAAGTTAGATGGACTGTTTGGAGAAGATAGGAATTATGTTGGAGAGGCAGTTAAGTGAGATGCCTTTTGGTTAGGAAACGGTTAGTTTTTTTGTTAGTTTTTCTGTTTTGGAGTTTATCGTATGAAGTCAGTTGCGGTTATCAGGAAGTGGTTCAGATTTTGGTTATAGTTTTTTCTACTGGAAGTTTCTGTTTTTTTTTAAATTTCTACTAGAAGTTTCTGTTATGTAGTTGGAAGATTAGAGATTAGAGCAGTCAGTTAGAGGTTGCTTCAATGTGAACTTGCATTCCCTGTTATTCAATGATCTTTTCTTTCTAATTCTATTTTTTTCTTCCTATTTTGAGCACCACCATGCATTCTTCTATTTCGCATTTTATGGCTTGTCTTACGCATTTTAATTTCCTCAACCTTGACGTTACTTTCAGTTTGTCGAGGCTTCCAAGAGTTGTTTCCACCTACAGACGCGCACGCTGCTAGTTTATGGACTGCAAGGCTGATTGTATGAAGCTAGTACGAAGTGAGTCAGTATTGGGATGATAATTTTGACCTGATATGTACTAATATTGCAGGTTTTGTAAACTGATCTTATATGGGCTTGGTTTATTCTTGAATGCATGGCTGTTCTTATGGTTTTTTTGTGATTACAGATTCACTTTGGTTCTGTATTAATGTGTAGGGTTGCGAATTGAAAGAAGGCTCGAACAAGCTTGGCAAAGGCGTGACATTGAAGGCAGAATCATGGAGTTAAGGCAATGATTTTGAAGCCCTGATGCATCTTAGAATTAGGAACAACATGATTAGGCATTGTATATATCTTGGTAGAAAGTATAAGCCTTTTTGAGTGAATTTCTTTGGAATTGGAATGTATCTTGATGTAATGTAATGAAATATTTGAACTTCCTTGTTGGACGCTTGACTTTAAATCAACCTTTGACAATTCGTGACCTTAAAACTTTCTTGATGCCATTTGAGAAAATTAGGAACCTTGGGCAAATGGATGTTGTTGAAGGAAACTTGAATGAGCTTGTGATATTCAAAATTGAAATGAATGAATACATTGAATTCCTTGAACCTTGAATAATGATGAACTTAGCTTTTGTAACTCCAAGCAATCCATACTTGCAGATTCTGAACTCATGGCACTAAGTAGTCACTGTGATGGATAATTCACAGTAGCAAATTCGACTCAAATTCAAATCTTAAATCCAAACTTCAATCTTGAATTCAAATCAAATTGTATGATAAGTAATTTGAATAGACAATAAGATCTCGATCCTAAATAATTTATAACCTCATATTTTGTATTACGACTCACATTTCATGATTCAATCCATTAGTCTCTTATCTTGACAAAGTCCTTCCCTAATTGACGACCTTGAATCATCGAAGATGAACACAGAAAATAGTGAAAGAGTATGATCAAGATTAACATGAAACTTTATTCCCATAATCTTCAATTAATGAACATTTATCAACGAATAGAAACCCTGATTCTCTGGCCTGACGTAGGGAAATAAACCCTAATCTGATGATCTTTGACGAAAAAACCCGATTGGAACAAAATTGCCGAAAACCTGACTTTGATTGCATATAGGGAAATAAACCCTGATAGCCTCGCGGCTTGATGAAGAAAGAAATTCTCAACGACCCAGGTCACAACCCTAATTCCACTGCTCGCTGCCTGAATAAGAAATCAGTCTTTATTGGACACAAACGCCTTAACCACTACGAAACCCTAATACTGCACAACCACTGAACTTTGAAGCTCAAGCGCTTTACTGAATGCAGTGCATGCTACGTTAGTGACCTAATGAAATATACGCGAATGAATGCGAAGGTCTAAGCCAAATAAAAGAAATTAGGAGGGAAAATATTGGGGTGTAATAGCCGCAAATAAGAACATTAAAAAGATCATACAGAAAATGATAGTGACATACAAAGACTGGCATAAGATGCTACCATTCGATCTCCACGGATATCATACCACAACTCGCACATCAACCGGGGAAACACCCTATTCTATGGTATACGACATGGAGGCTGTCTTGTCTATTGAGGTCCAGATCCCCTCTCTGAGAATTATGAAGGTTGCAGGGCTGAAAGAAGAAGATTGGATCCAGACTCGACTTGATCAACTAAACTTGATTGATGATAAAAGGCTTGCTGCTATCTGCCATGGTCAAATGTATCAAAAACGGGTGATTAAGGCTTTCAACAAAAAGGTCAGACGCCAAGTGTATCAAGTTGGGGATCTGGTGATCAAACGCATCATACTACCGCAAGGTGATCCCAGGGGAAAATGGGCTCCTACATACGAAGGACCATTTATAATCAAAAACATATTCTCTGGTGGCGCAATGATCTTGACCACCATTAATGGTGACGGCCTGCCGCACCCTGCGAACGCAGACATAGTCAAAAGATACTACGCATAAGAGACCCGCTAGGTTAACACACCTAGGAAAAATAAGGGCATCTCGATGAACCAAAAAGGTTCGGGAAAATGTTAGGGATAAAACAAAAAAATCTGTACACCCGGCAAGCTGAAAACCCGAAAGGGCGGCTTGGGCAAAAAGGGGTATCCTGGTGGACTGAAAACCCGAAAGGGAGGTCCAGGAAAAAGTTAGGGAATTAAAGCGTATGATTATGTCCCGTTGGATCACCTTACAGACAACCTGCAAACTCAGAGGTTTTGATCAATTCAATCAACTTCAGACAAGGCAACAAATAGACAAGATGCTCAGAGATACAAAGGCTATAGCGGAATGGGAACCCCATGGGATTATTGTACATAGCTATCTTTTATTTGTATTAAAATTTTCATTTTTTTACGACGGCATTCTCTTACTAGAATGTTTGTCCCATTTTACAAAAATACTTTCTCAAAGTCAATACAAAGATATCCCTTTGAAAGTGCAAAAACTATCTGTTTTTCTTTACGCTTGCGTTTTGTCTACAAAAACGTCCAATGATTCATTGTTGAACATATGTATTTGAACATGATTACTGTTTGCAAATAAACAAAATAGAAAGGCAATCACTGATGGCTTTAAGAAGTAGGGAAATCTCTCATTGCTATTTCCATAATCCCCCGCAGTGTCCAGTTCAATCCCCAGTGGAACAAAGCTTCCAGTTATCAATCCCCAGTAGAAGTCATTCAATTTTTCAAGATTTCCCAACAGGATTTTACAAGCAGTACCTGGAATTTCCTTTACAATAGAGTTTATTTCTCTAAATGGAAATTCATCAACTTCACAACGCAAAGACTTACATCCCATATCTTCAACAGCAGCCAGGGATTTATTTTCCCCAATCCAAAAGCAGTGCATCAAATTAGCTCACATACGCATACATCACATCCATATATCATAAACATTGATAACACGAATGCCTTATACTATGCATTTCATACAACATAACATTGCATATTAGCTAACATTTTACCCTTTTCAGGATAAGGTCAACAACTACCATTAACAAATGTTCAAAATTTTGAGATACAGTTCAGATACGCTCCAAACAGGAATGCCATTCTGATACTCATTCAAGATTCAGCTTCCAGATACAGTTCACATACGCTCCAGACACGAATGCCATCCTAAAACTCATTAAATTCTCAAATACAGTTCAGATACGCTCCAGACACATATGCCATTCTGATACTCATTCAAGATTCAACTTCTAGATACAGTTCAGATACGCTCTAGATACAGATGCCATTCTGATACTCATTCAGAGCCTCTTTCAGATACAATACAGATACGCTCCAGACACGGACGCCATTCTGATACTCATTCTTTCAGCTTACAAATTACAATTCAGAAATCACTTTTGGATGGCATCTTTAAGCCCATTCCCTCAACCATCACATCACCGAGTGCAAATTTCTGGGTACTCTAGTGTCCAATCATATTCCACCTTCGAGT